ACTGTCCTCCCCACCGCAACCACCAGTGCTTCTGCGCAAGCGTCATCCGCGGGTTCTGGAAAGACCGCGTCTGTGGCTTCAGCACAAACATCAACGGCCACATCTGATACTGCTACAGCTACTGGTGGCTCGGGCAAGACGACAGTGATGGCTGCTACCGCGACTGCTACTGGGAACTCGGGAGGACAGACTGCTACCGTAACGGCTGCTGCTGCTGCTACGACTACTGCGAAGGGGACTGCGGGTCGGGTTGAGCGCGTGGGGTGGCACGTTGGAGGGGTTTTGGTCGCTGCTGCTGCTTTGCTTTGAGAGGATAGAAGAGACGATAGCGATAGATGAACAAATGAGTTTGGATGGATTAATGAGGTAGAATCAGTGAGTGGGATATGATCTTACCTTTTTGAAGCCGGCGGCGTTGGTCTGCAAAGCGTTACATTACGCTATGATTGTGGATATGATACTAGTTTATGATACAGTTGTATATACTTCATTCTGAGAATACTATGTATTACTTGACAGGTTTCAAGCCTAGTTGTGATCTGCCTGCTATTATGTGTCATATTTTCAATTCATGTATACAACAGAACTATTTTTAGGCTTTAGAGGTAGGGAGCGGAGTTGAAGATATAGGAAGTAAAGCCATTACGTTAGATTAATCAGAGTGCGGACTTTAAATTTCTGTAAATAGAATAGATTGATCGAATAAGTTTTTCGTTCATATAATGGCAGACTCATTCTTTACCAGTGCAACCTCCACCTTCGCAGGCCATAACATCACATCCTCGATTACATATCCGTAAGACCGTGTGGATAAGCCAGAGGCGCATATGATGGAGAAGCGTCTTTAGATCGGCGCCTATTGATTTATTGTGACTTTTCACGTCGCTTTCTCTGCTCCCCTTCGCCCCCTTCAGCCGGTCAATATATAGTATAAGTTACTACGCTGGATTGATTTCTATTTCTAAAATCTCTACCCAGGATATCGACAGTATAGTATATATGCAGCCTCTCTTTTTCTTTTCAATCAACGCCTCCGTTGTACCGTACCTTTCATCCCTCAAGGAATTAAGCGAGAATTTGGGACAGGGGTATTATTTGTATTTTGTTTCTTCTTAGCTAAGACTCATATAATATAAGATATCACTTTAAATTTATATATTCACTCTGCTACACCACTCCACAAATTTTTTAAGCAGTGTCATAAAGCAGTTTAATTAGCTTGTTGCTTCCACGCTCGCTTAGGTCGTGGTTGTTTACTTTCGAAGTCCAAACCCTACATCTCTCACCATCACAACTTCAATTCCAACTTTAACTTCTCGCCAAATCAAATGCGGATACGTGGCTAGAGACCCAAGATGGTCAGCCAGAACCAGATGATCTGCTCCATGTGGCGAATGGGAAAGTGACCTTCTGGCAGTATATATGTGCAGGTTCGCGCATCCTGAGTAGCGCAATCGTAACTTTAGCGAGAAGTATCTCCTGGATGCAACCACCCCTATCCTTGAACTCCAAGCAGAAGCACTTGACATATTTATGTTTTCGACCCTCGTTTAAGTATATCTTTATTTCATATTATACTGTGAAAGGTCGACATAGAGAAAATTAAAGGCAAGCCAAGTAAACGTTCTTCACTAATTCACATTGCGCTCCCCAACCAAATTCTTGCTGGGAGGTTTCGGCTGACATTTTTGGCTAAGGGAGACAACGCGGCGGTGATAGAGGCACTGTATTCGGAAGCATTAGGTTCGTTAGTATTGACAGAGAATCAAACCATTCACACCCGATAATTTCCTGGGTTCAATTTCTGACGTTGCGGTGTTGAAATATTCTAGGGGTTAGAGATGGGTTTTTATACTATACGCGATCTTTTGCTTCAAAGTCCAATTCAGAATCCTTGGGTGGGAATTTTCCACATAAACTTGGTATCAATCAGCTGACAATCAACCGGAGAATATATGAATCTAATTTAGGGACACCGTTCTTAAAATAGCAACAAGACCATATTCGATAACTCGGCAGTTCCCCAATCAGTCACCCGAGAATCAGCCTCCTTGTGTAACACAACAACTAGGTACCATGGGTACACTTGAAACATGGCACTCGGATCGGCGGCTAAAGAGGCGGGCGCTTATTTGGAATCAGCCCGTTTGTTGGTGCGCTACCGCTGTTGGTGTTGGTTGAATGCCAGGGTTGTAACCAAACAGCAGGCTTTCAATTCCAACAACACCTATCATTGTCTTAGAGTAAACGGGTGTCGCACCCCGCCACATTACTTCCTGAAATAAGTTCATGCGTGTTCCCGCTCAGACTACTGTCATGCGTCAATGTTGAGTTGTACGACGCAGATCAAGGTCGATTGTTTTGCTGGTCTATCAATAACATACTATCCAGGACCTCAGGTCACTTCACAAGAGATCTGGCCTAGGTGTCTAACTAGATAGGCTGATGGTTGCATTTCCATATTTCTTGACCTGTTTGCAGGTTTTAAATGGCAAAACTTGGGTTTGGACTGTCCAAGTCGCCTATCGCTTAAGTATCGTCGATGATATTGACCTCTATAAAAAGCCAGCCAGAATCAGATCATAATGCATCAGCGATAAGCTTTGAGACTTAATGTCATACGGCATGTGAGTAAGCGTATTCAGGTGGCCAGATATTTGACCTCACAGTCAGCTAACATACTTCGCCGGGCAACCTGTCCTCATTTTCCCATGGGCGACTGCCAGGATATGCTCGGGAAGATGGGAGCCGGATATGGGCAGACTGCGTCCCACGCAGCTGGTTGTTGTCGGGTGCTAAGCCTTATCATTTTGAAAAGTGTTGGTGTGGCTGAGCCTCCAGATTGGATCTATAAGATGGCAGGAGTTCCTAGTCAAAAGTACATCTCGTCGTTCCTCACATCTTCACATCTATTCATCCACTCATCCACCCATACACACAGAACACACGCAATCTACCAGACCATATCACCTGTCTTCCCAGCTTTCGAAGAAGTCCACTCTCAAAATGCAATTTTCCACTCTCCTCGGCGTAGCAGCTTTTCTCGTCCTCGCAAATGCAATTCCTACCCCAACAGATGACAGCTACGATGCACTTGCATCGCTTGCCAATTCAAATCCTGATGAGTTATCCAACGATCCCGGGTTGTCGCAGGATTTAGGGGATGCAGAAATCTACTACGATGGAAACAACCCCAACAAGCAGCGCGACATGCAACCCGACATCCGTCCCCGATACAGCTGTGACGACTGTTGGAACTGCGATGCATTGCAGGACTGCATTCACTACGATGACGAAGGTGACGACGATGAATGTGATAAATCCGCTTCCTGCTACCGGTTTTGCCTTTCTTGTTCTGATAATGACAAGAGGGAGGTTACAAAAATCCAAGCTACACCCTACCATATCCTACCTAGGAACGACTCCAGCAACAGCGATGTGAATCATGTGGATGTCACATTCATCGGGGCATCAGGAACCAACAATTTTAGCATCCCTGCCACAGTCGATGGCAATCCTACTAATGTCTATGGAGCACAGGTACCCTGTAAGTCATACATGCATTCCCTTTCTCTCTGCGCCTCTATCACGTCTTCGCTATTCTAACGCTACACTTAAGTCTCCAACCTCAGTTGGTCACAAATTCAAAACAACACAGGCCCTTCAGATTATGATTTCTTCGAAAAATGCACTCTGCAGTCATGGAATCTAAATGGCACTGCTCAACTGGCGGACGTGCAGGGTTGTGAGGCTTGTAACAACTTGTGGAACATCGGACAGCCGCAGACTATTAAAAGCATTACTTGCCAGCCTTAGGGCTATTGGAGATTAGAGATGCGGTTTTGGTCTGCTTTGTGTCAATTTGTAGTGGAAAAAGGAGGCTGGGTTTGCCTTCTCTGGGGGTTTGGGAAGAAAAGGGGTTAAGCGGGCGTTTTGATTTTGCTCTGGGAACTTTGCTTTTACCACTTTTGCGTCAGTTTGGAGAATCTTATCATTGGCCCTAACTTGCTAGGTCCCTTATTGATTGCTCGTGTCGTTTCTGCGAAGTGTTCGGGGAAATAGCTCTGATCTCTCTCGGGTCATCGTAGAGGTATAGTGCGTTAATCTGAACAGCTTTATATATTTTTGGTTCCATCCATAGGGACCATTTGACCGCATCCTGCAGACCTTCGAAAAGTTTGGCGTATGAAGTTTCAAGTAATTACTGATCTTTCAACTCAGAAAGTTTTGATATCGAAGTGGGTAGTCTCTCACTTGGGGTCGACGGTCACCCACACCCAACATAACTTTTCTGCGTTGTATTCTCACATGACTGTTTCAACTGAAGATTTCAATAGAAAACATTTTGTGGAGCACTGAAAGGATGTGGATAATGTTACTTCCAATTAAGCCATCAATTGTTCTAGAAGTGCCAAACCGCAAAAGATAGAGGTGGCGCCGAATGATAAACAGTGCTTTTTAGCCTTTAACCTTAAAAACCATCGTCTCGGTCCTAAGCGCGAGAATCCGGAGCATTCGAAGACATTCGGGAAGGAGAGAGCACGGTGTACTTATTTATATATTAACTTGTAGATCGTATAGGGTCGCATCCACAACGGTAATCTCAAAATTCTTGGCGACGCTTTTAACCGACCCGGGTGATGTTTTTTTACGGAGTCTTTTCCGTAACTTTAATCTTCTTCTAGAAATATCACCGAATTCCAATGATGTAAAGTTCTGCATGCACGCGTTCCTGGAAGATTGAGAACGCGTGCATCGGCACTTCATCTACGTTGGATTTACCTAGGCACGGTGTCCCTGTTGGTAGCTTGTCACATTCTTTGCTACCTGCGAAGCCTGAACAGCGTTGGAAACAAGATGGCAACCTCTGCGGAGGACCCACTCACATCTATCGGTCTTGTATTGCACCTCAATCTCCGGAAAACTTTCTACATATAATAGTCTCAATTCTGCGTCGCCCAAGCTGCTGCACTCGAGAGAAGGTTCTTGGTCTTCTTGCAATGTCATCACTACTTTTGAACCTTGCGGTTGCGAGTCTAGTGGCATCGTTTACGGCAGCTGCCTCCAATGGGGATTTCAACATTCTTTCTTTCAACGTCGCTGGCTTGCCATCTATTTTGAACGATAATGATGTCCCTGGCGACAAAGCTACAAATGCCGGGACAATTGGAACGTTATTCACTAAATATGATTATGATGTTATCCATGTCCAAGAAGGTACGAATCAAATCTTCCAGGCATTCGGCCTCAATGCTGATGATCATGTCAGACTTTGCATACCATGCAGACATCTACGCTACGGATGATCATGCATACCGAACAGCAACTTCCGGCACAGCTGGTGTTGGGAGTGGACTGAACACATTATCCAACTTCGACGTAAGGAAAACTGGCTCTTTGATTTTACCCTATCCCCTTCCATCATGTTTCGTCTTATGTACTCCAACTACTCCTTACATGCTTCCCAAACTGGAAATATAAGCTCCTTCTACTCCCGAAACCTTCTTGGATAGGAAATAACTAATTTCCCCATGATCTAGTGGGTAGATTTTACGCGCGTGAAATGGGCAACATGCTCGGACGCCTCTGGAGACGATTGTTTGACCCCAAAAGGGTTCACGTTTATGCGTGTACTTCTCTCAGAGGGGGTTTATGTCGATTTCTACAACCTCCACGCAGATGCTGGGTATTTTCCCCGACTTAAATGAGAATAATTGCTAATTGGATCATAGTACTGAGGCTGATGACGAGACAGCTCGTGCAGCTAATCTCCAGCAAGTAGCAGACTACATTGACACGTGGTCTATTGGAAACTCTGTTGTTCTCTACGGAGATACTAATTCACGCTACACTCGAGCCCTCGACGGCATTACCGTTTTCGAAACCCAGAACTCCCTCACGGATGCGTGGGTCGAGCTCGAAAACGGCGGAGTCAATCCTACCGTCTTGACCCTCTGCGACAACCCATCTTTGATCAACACTTGCGAGACAGTCGATAAAGTCTTCTATCGCGGCTCTAAACAGCTGAGTTTGACTGGAACTTATTTCAACTACGAATCTTCCAAGTTCTTGCAGTCTAATGGGTCGATCTTAAGTGATCACAACCCCATCACTGTCAACTTCACCTGGACTACCAGCGACTCCCTTCTTCAATCTGAATTATATGGTGGTCCTCATGGAACTTGGTTCAATGACATAGAATCTATTCCTTCCTCGCCCAAGACATCCGTCATCACTTTCCGAGGGGCGTCTCGTCTCGACTCTGTGGCGCTGACTCTTACTTCGGGGACGACGTTCACGCATGGTGGTACTGGAGGCACAAGTACAAGCCTTACACTAGAAAGCTCTGAATATTGGACATCGGCGCAGTTGTGCCAGGGTCAGTACAATAGCGAGACGAGGAACTTCTACATCCTCGCCACTACTAGCACTGGGCGAACACTTGTGTCTGGAACCGCAACGAGCGACTGTACTACTTTTACAGCTCCGACGGGATGGCAAATTGTTGGTTATATGGGCCAGGATGGTGATGAGATAGATCAATTGGCCTTCATCTATGCACCATACTAATAGGAGAAGGCCCTAGAAGCGGTCCTTCGACGGAATTTTCTAGTTCCCAAATATATATGTATTAATCAGAGACGCTTGACCCTCTTGATTTCAGGTGGTACTATAAGCCTTGCTTCATTTATTTTGTCTCCGACAAATCTTTCTTCTTATTTCGGATGTCTGATTCCCTCAATTAACTACTTTTATCTCCTCCATATTTAATTACTAAACAGTCCGAAACCTCACAATCATCTACATCTAAAGATCTCTAATAACAATGTCCACTAGACTAAGATTTACTACTCCGCCTAACTATTTAGTAGATCGGGATTTACTATATCGTCCGGCCTCAAATCTGTCGACTTTACCTTCTGCTATCGAGTACCCAATATTTTCCGGCTTCAGAAGCAAGAAAGACAAGGCCAATCTCCCGTCTAATGACCAAAAGGCTCTAGTACATGGGTGCATTAATAAATCCGACTTTTGGGGACATCAGCGGCGCAGTATGAGAAAGGTTGGGTTATAGCCGTTTACAAGTAGGGTACAGTACTTAGGCGCCGCTTCTTGGATCTTGATATCACCAGAAAAGTAATGAAATGCTGTTGTCCAGAATATCAAAGCAGATTTGGAATTTAATGACCGGCTCCTCACGAAGCAAACTGTGAAATTCAGAGATCAGAAACTTTCAACACAGCCTTCCCAAAATTCTCTCCCTTCAGCATTCCCACAAGGCCCTCGGCAGAATTCTCAATACCTTCGGTGACATGCATCTTGATAGTGATTTCTCCATCCTTAATCCACTTCTGCAAATTTCTCTGGTGCTCTTCCGCGTACTTCGGTCCCATATCCTCGTCATACACAATGAAGCCCCTGATAACCAATCTTTTGGCAACAACAAGCGGCATGTTCTTGATGCCGTACGTTTCTTCTGGCTTCAAACTACTCTGGGAAACGCTCCCACAAGACACTATCCTCTCATCAGCAAGAAAGCACATGAAAAGCAAGATCAAACTCACCAACTCTTCCCCTCTCATTCGAAACCCCCAATGCAGCATCCAACTGCTCACCTCCCACATTGTCATAATAGATATCCACCCCCTTACTTCCCACCTCCTCGAGCAGTCTCTTCAGTCCCTCGGTCGGCTTCTTAACCTTGTAATTAAACGCGCCATCAAACCCTAGATCCTCGACCACATACTTCCTCTTCAGCTCACTCCCCACACTCCCAATCACCTTCAACCCCTCTCTTTTCGCCAGCTGTCCCACAATCTGACCAACCGCACCACTAGCCGCACTAATGAAAATAGTCTCCCCTTTCTTCGGCCTACCAATTTCATAGAAAGAAGAATAGGCTGTGAGACCGCTCATTCCAAGCGCGCCGAGGAAAAGCTTCTCGTCGAGACCAAGGGGGTTGGAGAGCACGTCGAAGCCGCCGGCGGATTGCGGCTTCTCGGCGCGGCTGCTGGGGATGGTTTGGTATAGTGAGAAATCAGAGAGGCCGATTACCAAATCGTTGGGTTTGAAGCGGGGTGATGAGGAGGATATTACGCGGTCTACGGCAGATTAGTATTTATGTTTCGTATGGAGATCAAGAGCCAAGGAGATGTGACACGCTTCGGGAGTCACAACACAGCAAAGTCAAATATGGGAGACAGAGGAAAGGGGTGGTTACGGATTCCAGCGTTCTGAATAGGGCTGCCGAGGGTGTAGCCGGTTGCGTAGGCTCCAGGGTTGGCAGGCTTCATTCGGCCGCGCTGGATTACGGGTTAGCGACTATTCTATTCTATTCATATTGGGTTGGTTGTGTAAAGGGACTTGCCTGGAAAGGGTCATAGGAGAGATAGATAGTTTTGAGGACAATTCCTCCATCGGGTGGCGGGGCATTGATGTCGAAGGGGGAAGACTTGACGATCAGGTCTTCACCTGGGATTGGAAAGCCGGCTGGGTGTTTTGCTAAGATGAGACTCTTGTTCTCCGTCATGATGGAAATCGATTTGGACTTAGTCGCAAATAGAAGTCGAAGTCGTCTATTGGAGTTGCTTTTGGTACGTAGCTTCTGTGAGGGGAAACTAGTTAGATCTGATAACCTGTGTGACAGGAGACTTCGGGCGGGGTAATTTCAATATATATATTCTTTTCGGAACAGATTACAGTCAATTTACCACTCAATAAATGGCTCGTATGTTTACAATCCTGTGGGGTATAACGAGGATTGATAAGCACGCAAGAAACCTGGCCTGTTATGTTTCGTACGCATCATCCGCTTACAGAAGCAGGAGGGCCTTCCTTTCAGAAAAAGTGGGTTGACCCAACCACGTGAGATCCATTTGATCTTCTAATGCAGCGTTCCCGATTGATTTTGTTGAAGACTACTTTTGTTTTTATTACTAGGATTGGTTCATGTAGAATAGGTTAATAATCTTTGAACGTGGTGTTAATGGCCAGCTCATTGGTTTAGTAATCATCGAGCCCCCTCTTTCGTTGCCGAGAGCAAGGCCAACGGCTCCGTGTATAGTCGCGAACCTTTCAATTATAAAAGGAACGTTGGATACAAATACTGCTCCTAATAACAAATCACACTCTGTTACAGAAGTACCACTCCCAAATCAAAAGAAATATCTCGCTCTGCGAAGAACGAAATCACCAACCAACCAAATAACCCCTTCATCCCAACTCCAAAACACTTGACAACCACAACAATGACCTCCCAATTACAGACAGAAAGCTTCACCGGCACCCGCCTAACCCTAATAACCCCCTCATCCTTCAACACAACCCTCTCAAAACTCTACTCCGAAATCGGTACTCCAAACACGCAAGCCTGGCCCTCCATCGCCGCGTCCATAACTTCGTACTCCTCAGCCAACAAGGAGAAGTTCATCGCCCAAGTAGAGAAAACTGTCGGCTCGAAAGGGTTCATGATATTCATGGTATGTCCCCCCCCCCCCTAATTCTATCTCCCAATCCGTCTGCTCGAACAAAGCAGAGGGTGGCGGCTGACGAAAGCAAATCAAAAAGGAAATTAACCACAGTGCATGGCTCCCCTTATACGGGGTAGGTTCTGGTCTTCAACTGAAGCGTATTATCCTAGGCAATCCATTAATTGCCATCACCATGCTACAGCATGATCTCAAAGCTGGGTTGGCGGTGCCGGTTGAGTTGCTGGTTCGGGAGCTGGAGGGTGGCAGAGGGACGGAAGTCAGTTGGCAGGTGCCGAGTACGCTTGTTTGTGGGGGAAATGGGGATGCGAAACTGGTGGAGGCGGCGAAGGTGTTGGATGGGAAGTTGGAGGAGTTGATTAGATGGGCTTGTGAGTAGTGGTTAAGTAGGGAGGTTGAGCGGATGATGGGAATGTAGACGAGGGACTTTGGTGTGTATGAATAGAGAAGAGGAACAGTACTTGCGATTTGAAATCAATACATCTGACAATTCTCCCGTAATTTCGGTGGATAATAGGGGGTCTTTGGACAGAAGTGTCTTTGTTTCAAGGGCAGCTTGCCGATTCCGATAGAGTATCCGGGTCAGAATCATGCCATGAAGAACTTTTTCAAGTTTGGGACAGTTTATCAATTAGAGGATTCGTAAACCCAGCCATTCGCTGAGCAAAGTCTAATATACACCGTTCCAGCTATGCAAACACAAGATATATGGGCGAGACCTAGCCCAAGGAAAATACACAGTCCTCGCCTTCTCGTGGCGCAGGACAGAAAGAGTAGAGTGGTATAGATGCCATTTGCGGCGTATGGCATAAGGTTTTGGGGTTCGTGTGAGAGACTTATGCGATAGCCGGGAATCCAGTCTGTCCACTTTCTGCGGGTGGGGGTGGTGGTGGTAACTGGAAAAATATTAGCAGGAGCCGAAAAGGGGAGAGGTTCATCCGTACATCTAGTCGTGTGTTCTCTGCCATCATTCTCTGGAATCCAATTCCTACGCCTTCTATAACAGCTAGCAGACACGCACATCCAATAGCAGAGTTTCTCGCAGCCTTTGCACCTCCTCGAATAGCCAGAGCTCCTCCCGTGAAAAAACCTGCAATAACTGGAGAATTGTCAGCCCCATTCTCAACATTCCAAACTTCATCAGTAGCACGTACTGGCGTTATATGGATCCTCCTTCTTCCGCATTCCTTTCACTGCACAATCAAACGTCGAGAATAACCCTCCCCAAACACCGAAGTTTCCTCCCAACACTGGCGCTCGGGCTTTGATGGCTGTGAGGGCACCAATCCGTCTCTCGCCGTATGGGGAATTTCGAAAGCCTTTGACACCGTGCCATACTGCTCCTCCTATTGCCTATGCGCAGGATGAATATTAGCTGCGGTTCTGTGGTGATGATTACAGGAGCAAAGCTGGAGTCGTCGGTCTTGAATCTTCCAAATCTCTTGTAGAGATGATGAGGAAGGAAGGATTACATACTCCCATACAAAACGCTCCTCCGAAATCGTTCAAGGCCACCCAAGGACACGGGTCTCGCGTGTGATCCATCTTCTATGATGTCTTGATAATGATCTTGATATCGCCTCCTTTGTATTCGTCCTTTCTACAGTTCCAATCGCGGGAGTCGATAGCGACCTCTAAAAAGACTGGAGATTCGAGTATAGATTTGGCACGAGGTATGGCTGGCTCGACAATTAGGTAGGTCGCTGAATGTTCTCGTTGACTTGTATCTTTTTACCCTGCCTGCGCTGGAAAGAACATCAAGGCTAAGGATTTTTGAGATGACGCTAAACCTCATTGCGATGATAATATCCCGTGACCTTGCCTCCTTGATAAGATAAGGATCTCCTACAGTATCGTACAGTACAGTATCTCATCCATCTCATTCATCTCAACACCGTCCATGTTCCTCATGTCTCAAGATTCCATTCTACAGTACTTCGAAGTACTGTATAGTACTAACACCTCCTCTGTGCCGTGGTCCGATGCTTATTGGTCTCATATGTCTGACTCCTGGTTGGGAATCATCGTTACCACTTGCCAGAAGGACCTTGGCCGCGAAACTCTCCAGTCTCATTGACCAAGGGATCCTGCGCTTTCCACCAATGGCAGCTGCTAACCAGATGTTACACAGTCCATGGTGCTCCGTCTGATAATTTCAAGCCGTTCGTCTGATTTCTAACGGCCCCTGATCACAGCGTCTCGCGTTTTGGCGATGAAACGTGCGTTGCGCGGGAGAGGGGATCATTGGCGGCAAAGCATCATGAATCAACATTGATATCCAGAGTCTGAAGACACGATGCGCACAGAAAGTTTACATTTATCATGTATATATTGCTAAATTATCATCTCAGTTACTCGAAACTGCCTATTCTTCTTGTTTAGTCTCAACGCGATTATCTATGCGCGCATAGCCTTCAAAGTTGAAGTTGCATTTCGAGGTCTCCTGCGGCTACATCGGCAGAAGCGAGAGGAGGCCGTATCAGAGCGCAGACATGATACAGGAGTACATGAACAGATCTGATGTGCATTGATCTACGACCGCCAACAGGCCGGCTCGACATACTTTAATTTATGTGATGCATGATTCAAGTGTCCCTCTAAGAAGCACAGTCATCTACCCTCAAGTTTACTACCCCTCACCTGCACCTGCAAGTCTGTCCCTCGAAACCGAAACGATCAGCATGGACATATGAAGCAGCGAGGCTGAGGAGTTGGGTTGCTGCACGAAGGCGGGTAGTTTCCTCCCCTGTTTGAACGCTTGTCTTGACGGCGCCTCAGTGTACCTATGCTCATTTCTTTTTGTGAGACCCTCCTCTTGCTATGGAGATATAAAAAGCTTGGCCGCCTCTCAGCAAAGCGCTCTTTTCTTCATCGAATTTTTCGAACCACGTTCTTTGGTACCTAGTACACATACATTCTTTTATAGTTGACCTATATACATTGTCTTTCACTTCCACGACTACGTCGCTACACACAATTACAACAGGCCGGCCCATTATATAACTTTTTCCATTTTAAATTGTACCTAGATACCCTTTTCTACATACAACATGTTGACCGCATCCCTCAAGGTTGCCCTGTTGGCATCAGCCAGTCTGATTGAAGCCCGGTCTGCTCTCAATATAAATCACCTCCACGGCGGCGTATTACACAGACGTCAAAACACCGATTTGACAGCAACAGTCCTTGCCGCTAATGCTATCCAAACTGGATCCTTTTTGGATGGAAGCAACGAGATCGGAGCGGCTGAAGTTGGTCAAGCCTTGTCCAAGACTTCCACCAACAACTTCATCAACAACTGTTCCGGAAAGACCCTCACCAATGGCCTCCAGATCGTGGCGGGGTCCTGCAATGGAATTCGTAAGTATTCAGTTCTAAGAAGTTTGGACATTGCTTACACTTATAGCCATGGGGGACATTCCCGCTAAGACAGCCATGGTCTCTTCCATCATTATCTCTCCCGTAGATGCTAGCGCTACCATCCAGTCTGATACTACATTCAACATCACTGTTCAGGTGGCAAATCTAGTCGCTGGATCTTTCACCAATGCTGATGCCACCTACTATTCAGCTCCTCAGCAACTCCAAGGCGGTCAAGTCGTGGGCCACACACACGTCACTGTACAGGATATGGGCGCTTCCCTCAACCCTACAACTGCTTTGGACCCCACACAGTTTGCCTTCTTCAAAGGAATCAACGACGCCGGTAACGGAAAGGGCCTGCTCCAAGCTACCGTGACCGGTGGTCTCCCAGCAGGTAACTACCGAGTCTGCACCATGGCGTCCGCTTCGAACCATCAGGCTGTCTTGATGCCTGTCGCACAGCGAGGGACAGCTGACGATTGCTCCAAGTTCACTGTTGTTGGGAGCGGAACCACCGCGAATGCGGCTTCTAACGACGGCTCTGGAGGTGAAGCTGCAGCGGCTGCCGCTCAAAGTGCTGTTGACAATCCAGGCCCGACTGGCGCAGTGGTTGAGGGAAACGGGGCTTCAAGTTCAACATCCGTCGCCTCGGCTACAACTAAGGCTGGAAAAGGAGCCAAGGTTCAGTCTTCAGTCTCTGTCACGACTTCTGCAGCTGTGAAAGTGGCTCCATTCTCGAACACCACATCCATTGCCGCTTCAGCCACCGCTATTGCTGGAAATGGCGGAAAGGGTGGAAAAGGAGCTCAAGCTTCAACCACCGAAGCTGACTCGGGATCAGTCACCCTACCCTCAGCCGGCTCGGCCTCATCCCCCACGAAAGTCTCGGGCGGGGGGAAAGCAGTCAATTCCCAAGGATCATCAAGCGGAGGAATCGTCGCACAAAAAGTAACCGTCATCGAAACATTCTTCATCTTCGTCAAGTCCCTCGGCGGCCTCCCACCGTCCGTCAGCAAGCAAGGAGAATCCTTCTTCTGCTTCGGCGAACTCTTCGATGACATCTCTTCTGCTGCTTCTGCAGCCTGTGGTCACCAATTCGACGCATGTGCGAGTTTCTCTGGACCGGGCTTTTCGTTCGAGGAATGCGCGAGCCAGAAAGACGACTGCGGATCCGCTGCTTCTGTTGCTAGCGCTCCACCTGCTCCGTCAACCGTTACTGCGACTGTGACGGTTCCGGTGAGCGCTACTGTTACCGGCTCTGTTATTTCTGAGACTACCGTCTCGGTGTCTGCCTCCAGTGTAGCTGGTAACGTTGCAGCAGTACAAACATCCAGCGCCGTTGCATCATCCGAGACCACAAGTGCCAAAGAAAGCAGTACTCCTTCCGCTGCAAAGGTCGCTTCACCTCTTCCCCCATTCTCCAACTCCACCGCAAAAGCCACAGGTACCTCTTCGGCAAACAGCGCAAGTTCAACATCAACTTCCACATCCAGTTCTTCAGCGCTTGGCGGTATCGCCGCACCGCCTGTGACAAACACCGGGGATTCGACGAGACCTTTTTCAGTAAACGGGAACACGTTTGTGGCTGAGGCGGCTGCGGTGCAGAGGAGTTGCGATGTGCAGTTTAATGCGTGTGCGAATGCTGTTAATGGGGGAACGCTGAGTGGAGTTACGGTTGCAGATTGTCAGACGCAGAAAAATGCTTGCGGGCAATAGAAGTAGACGGATAGGAAGAGTAGGAGGGGAGGGGGAGGGAGGGAGGGTGGGGGTTGTATGAGTAGCCTTAAGATGATGATGATTTATGTTCTTGTATACTGTAATAACAAAGCTACTGCAGCTATAGTTCTGAAGCTTTTGGGGTTTGGGCCAGTTTCGAGGTTCTCTTCGGTCCTTAAAACAAGCAAGCGAAAGACAGTTCTATCATATATATACTCTCTCTCTCTCCGGACTTCTTTTTGTAGTAAGCGCAAGGTACTGGAGAAACAAGAAGCTCAAGAGCAAGACCCCGCCTTCCCCGCAGTTCAAGGGACTCACCTACCCAGGCGGCATCTCAATCTCAATTCCATCTCTTTCCCGTGCTTCATTTTCCATTTCGTTCAATTTTAGGATTGAAAGTACATCGCTTGCTGTCATACTTTCCCTTCCTTCATTCATTCATTCATTCGCACGATAATATCTCCCCCACACTGTCGAATCATTCATTCCACGTTCTGAAGTACGTGCCCGATTTCCGTCGAGATAATATTACCATAGTCATACCCAATCAGAGTCTGCAGGCTGCTTCGTTTGTCTGAGATATGTAATAGGAAGCTGGTAGCCAAAGCTCGATGGGAATTGGTGATCGTATTTTCTGTTCAGATCTAATTTTATATAGTTAATTTATGATTATGATTACAGTAATATTATTGGGAACAGAACACGCCATGTTTTTGGACCCGGAATCGTAGTCATGTGATCGTAGGCATCAATCCAACACATCCTTGGTTCTTCATCCTCTCATCCTCTAACTTTCCAACGCCCAATCTTGAACAACCCTAACTCTTCTCTCAAAAATTATTGTTATATAATATAGTCACAATGCAACCTACCAACAGTTTCCCACTATTCCCCAACCTTCCCCCTGAGCTTCGTGACAAAATATGGCTTCACACCATCGACCAGCGCTCCCACGTCCTACCCCGCCCTCCTATCACCGAGCTCGTGTCTGCCACGAGGCAAGAAACGCTCTACTAAATATATATAGACCCTGCTTTCGTCGCGTTCCAAAGTCCAGAAAAGACGACATTACATTTTCCGTCCGCTCGTCGCCCGGCGAACGATGGCTTCAAATCCAAGGCATGGGAAACAGATCCCCGCGGTCCCCTTATGCAAACTACGAGACGGATGTCCTGAACCTCAACTGGGCCATCTGGTATGGAATTCATCAGGGGGAGACGATCCAAAAATTCCTGTTCCAGGAGGCCATCGACCATATCCAACACGTGCTCATATCGCTCAACGCATGGGCGGCCAGAAGAGGCGGCCCAATCAGGCTTGTAGGAGCACCGCGTCCAGCACCGAAACCAGATGCGCGATTGGTGCTCACCGACTTTGGCGCCTTGAAGACGCTTAGGCTAGCTAATAAGCCAAAAATGAAGGTTTACATAGCTCCTCTTAACGAAGAGCAGATACGTAAGCGGAGAGAATTGCTGTTGAGGGGGGGACTGCCTGATGACGAAGTTCTGGCACGCGAGAAAGTAGTATTGAGAGCAAGTTTCGCGGAGGAAAAGATAGTGATCCCGGTACACGAGCCCGCCGACTCTCCAGACGTTGCAAATCCTTTCTTCAAAATCGAGCACGTGAAGCAATGGATTGATCGTAAGGCAGAAGAGTTGCCGGGTTGGGGCGCGCCGGAGGTGCAATATGCAACGATCATTCCTGATCCTGAAGGTTGATGATGTGTCCTCTTGCATTTTTACAAATGTGGTGGAGTCGGGAGTGGCCCCGGGTGGGGTGCTTTAGGGAACAAAATCACACTCCTGACTCCTAAGTCCTGATGGAGATGGCGCTTTATTCTCTTCATACCTACCACATCTTCGCAATACATGTGCATTGCTTAAGGAGAGCCTCTACTAGGGCTGGAAGACATCTAGCAGGGCAGTAGTAGATTGTGGATCCTGGCCATGGAAGCCGGAAAGAACCAGAGCACAATTGTGCCTAGCTCATGATCTCCTACTTTTGCATCGATTATCCTCAAATAAAGTCATCATTCATCAGTCACAACCTTAATATATATATCACTTAGCAACTCTTCATTCTTCCTAGCTAGGACTTAAAGCTGAACGACTTTACTTCATCGCTACCCCCTATTATACACGGTCAATAACCTCCATTCAGTCATTCATTCATTCATTCATTCATTCATCTACAACCATCATCAATCATCTATCCACATCCCAATCTCTATCTAAGTCCCCTCCCAACCCCCCAATATCACCATCCCATCCATTTATTCACCTTCCCCAGCCCCTTTCCTAGCAACACCGTTATCAGTATTCGTCTTGTTGGCACGCTAGTTAGTTTACTAACAGGGGGGTTATATGGTAGCTGCTTAACCCTGCCGGAAGCAAGCAGGCTCTTAATAGTGAAGCAGCCGAGCAGTGTGGATGTATGGCATGTTCGGAAAAAGGAGGCTAGATATAGGCTGCTGGACCGGAGTGTGGGTGAGTCATTCACGGGGGTGAGAGGAATGATTCACTGGCTTTGGGGAATGGAATGAGGGGTGTCAGCTCGGGTGTTGTGAAGATTGAGTGTCACAGGGACTGGTCTCGGGGAAAAGGAGATTTTTGGAAGGAAGCTAGCAAAGTGCAAAGCCGATGCCATGTTAGTTTGAGCTCAAAGCCCAGAGCCGAGGAGGCAGAAACTTCCCCGCCCCCACGATGAATGTCTCACCTGATGGCACGACTGGGAGGTTGCTGGTAAGCCACTTTTTATGCCGTAAAGATATTCAATGTTTCCTCGCCACTATTTGTCTAACCAACTGAAACGCCACCCCGTGTATCTATTGTACACATGCATGCATCTAAACCGCCAACTCAACCTCCTTACTGGCCGCAATGTGCTTCCTATACGGCTCCAAAGCCTTCTCAACCTCGCTACCTTTACCGCAGAATCGTAAGACTTGCTCGGGACATCTGCCGATGAAGTTCTTTGGCTCGAGCATAGCGTCAACTTCACCAATGATTGGTTGGAAAAAGGGGGTTTTCTTGATTCTTTCGATTAGGTCTATGGATATGTGATATTAGCATATATTGTCAAAGGGCTCTTGGAAGGTTTAAGACATTCTGGATGAAGACGTCGAGTACATGGTTGAGAATTGGGAACTTACCGTTTTTGCCGCCCTCCTTCTTGACAACATCGCTAGCCTGGTGACTCAAGACACGGATCTCTTCATGAGCATCTTGTCTCGACTTGCCCAAACTAACTAACTTCATAATAATATTCTCTGCCCGACGAATTAGTATGATTTTTTGCTGCAGTCTTCTGCGAGGCTGAGCTCCTATCACTTCGCTAGAAGTCCCATTCTATAAACAGTATTTGACGTACCTGTGGCCATGAAGGGTAGCTCCTCCATTACCCTGCTATGGATTCTAGCTGGGTAGACGACCAGTCCGCCAACGACATTGTCTAGCGTCATGCAAATAGCATCAGCGGACAGGAATGCCTCAGGGATGGTGATTCTTCGGATCGCACTGTCATCCTATAGGCAAATTGGAATTAGCATCTGCTGTCATAAAAGCCTTTGGGTGATTGAAGATTAATCTTACCAGAGTCCTCTCAAACCATTGCGCAGAGTACGTATTAGAGGCATTCTTGTTGAGATTGGAGAGGTGGCGACCGAGACCTAAATTCGCAGAGTTAGGATTGCTTGATCGAGAAAGACATTTAGAATATAGAGGTTAAGGAGTCGTTCCTAGGGCCTCGGAACTTTCGAGACTTCCAAAAGAGCGATGAAACTCCTAAATACACCCGGAAAATGAAATGAGATGCTAGGAGAAGTTGCATACCAGCGATTCTCTCACAGCGCATAGGATTCCTTTTCTACAAAACAGTTAGCATAATGTTTCCGGGTAATTCAGCAGCCGAAAGAATAGAACACTATTCAGAAGTGCCGATAAAGCGAAATCAAATTGGGGGGTTGGTTACGTAGGCTAGATTTAGAGTTAGTGTCACTTCTTTGTAAGCAAACCGATTGAGGGCTTTCCAAACTTACCCATAGCTGACGATCCTGCATAGAAAATTAGTAGAGTAAACAATTGAATGATTGGAAAAATTTGAGGAGCCTGGAAGTTGTCTCTGGAGCCGCCATATCAACTCCTAAAGCAGTTCCTCTACTAGACTTCGGCAAATTTGGATGAGAATAAACCTACCAATCTGATCTTTCTCGAAGGGCTCTTCCATCTCTTTTTGTGAGGCGAGATGTCGAATATCGCCCGTGATCCTTTGAACAACATCACCAAATTCAGACAGAGCATTTACTACTCTCAAGTCGACGAGACGGGTATAGGTCTGGGTGGAAATCGAATAGCAGGTGGGGAAACCAGCCTTGGCACAGAGGATGTCGTTGAGCTTGTCGACCTTGTCACCATCCCCATGGAATATTTCCATAAAGGAGGCTTGAGTTCCAGTCGTACCTTGAGCCCCCCTAAATCGAAGATCCGAGCGAGCGCGGGTGATGTCTTCCAAGACCATAAGCAGGTCTTGAATCCTACGAAGTATGAGGTTAGCTTTACAGTTTGAGAAGTTCACAATGATTCAAGAGCCATGAAACACTTAGGGTTTCTGTAATAAATACGCCCTACAAACAAGTCTTATGACTCCAGAAAAACATGATATAATAGGAATTTCTCACCATTGCGCGGCACGACGACCCACTATATCACAACAGGGTCAGTATTACTTAGTATAATGTGTTTTGGGAGTTGAAAAATTGATCCACGGGAGTTGAGACAATAGTTCAGGAGCAGTCAACTCTCCAAATACATCCGGATAACATGTCCCTCCGAGAAGGAGGCTTACCTGTAATAAGCTGTAAATATGGGTTAGTCAAATTTCCATGTAAATGTGCATATCAATGTTTGAAATCAGAAGTCTCGGGGATTGCGAGGAGATTTTCAGTGAAGCATGCTGCACTATATGAACTGGCACACCAATTGCCGCCTTTAGTGATCAGCATGAAAGCCTCTGACAGAAATAGCTTCGCAGGTCCAAGGACGCGTAACAATCTCTTCGAAGTCTCAATTTCTAGCACTGGTGCCGTATGTGCCAGACTGGTGCCATTTATGAGATCCCTGGGCTTATCGAATCTAAAAATCACGTACCTGGGCTGGTTGGTAATGTGCTATCAAGGAGTTAGTACTACATTTATTTTATAAAAATGAGAGACCAGAGAATAACACTCTCTCGAGATTCCTAATGCAGCAAAATAGAGAAGGGGAAATAGAGAAAGGTGGGGCGCACTATATCCTAGAGTCGGCATGTCCTTGTACTCGATTGCAAACTGCGAGAGTTTAAAAATGATCGTGGCGAGTTTGGGAAGGATGAGGTCAAGGCCGTCGCGGAGGAAGATGAGGTCGGAATTGTCAGTGACATAGCACGATGTGGCTCCATAATGCTACAGTTTCGCCGTAGTCAGCGACGCTATATGAAGAAATTTGGGCGTAGAAGCATTCAATTGGCATCCCGGAGTTTTTAGAACATCTGAAGGCCCATTGAGACGGGCAAATTTGGCGAAATAAGGATACGAATGGTCTATGAGATTGCTCACTATGATTCCAGCAGCAGCTGGTGCGACCAGACCAAACGCGTGAACATGGGCCATAACGTCGTGTCGGCGCTGTTGTAAAGAGGCAAAGTTAGCGAAACGTTAACCATTGGCCGTTGGCTATATCCGCAACAATTCCCACGAACCCTCTTCTCCTCTACGGCAGCAACAACGAAGTCCTCATCCGTCATTGTAATATGCGCTTTCATCTGTGCGATCGCCTCGTCCGAGATATCAATTCCAAGCTCCTTCTCGGCTTCTGCAAGCCAGACCTGAGAGAAATTAGTAACCATAGAGCAATTGGTGGGGGTGAGTTAGAACTTGCCCAAAGTTGTCGCCAAGTACTCGATCGAGTTCTCGCGGAGAAGATGGTTTTCATTTCAGCACTCGCATAGCGCGAAGCCAGAGGCGTTTGATAGGTATCGTTGCCAGACATGTTGTATATGTTCGGTGCGCCGTGAAATGAATGTAAAAAGTGGTTCGAGAGGGAGAAGAGAGAGAAGTGGAGTGGTGCAGTGCGGGACGAGGCGAGGCCAGGATCTGGATCTTGGTGTTTTCAAAGTTTTCTGCCACAACGCGGGGTCGTGTGATCACCCGAATTGACTAGCGCTTAAAGGCGGTGAGGACGGGATATATATAGGTAGGTGTAGTTACCTACATATACTTAATGAAAAGTCTTAACCTTGGGCTTTTCTTCTCATATTAGATCCTACACATGAAGTTTAATTAATTGATCTTTGATTCTCTCCTCATAATAGTATCTAGGTATGTATGGTACCAAAAGCATTTCTAAAAGCAAACGTTTATCTTCCGGAGTAGCGGCAGTTTCTGTGACGCAATTCCAAGAGTGTTGTGAGTTACCACGTCTTCCTAGAATAGTAGTCATGATTTTTTATCATTTGTTGAGTATATCATAAGACTGACCGCTGAACTTTCCATTCGATCTTGAGACGCCTGCAAAGGTCCATCAGAACTGTGGTCCTACAAAGACGTACATACTTACTACTTATTGATGTACGGAGGTATGGCTCGTGGGATTTTGCCTGCAAAATCACCTTCATTTGCCGATTATACTTGTAGTCCCAAGCTTTTCGGGTACTGGGCCTCATTTCCTTATTAAAATATCTGTATCGCTGTTTTCACTAAGCATGTCGTCTATGCTCGGCTCCTCTTGCGAAAGTCGTTCATAAGGGGTAGTTTGCCTTAAGCACGGAACTTAACTGCATCTTTCCCACCGAGGCACGGGCGAGACGGAAATCGAATTGGATGGTTCCATCACGGTCTTCCTAGTCCTCATTTCCCGAGTCGTCCGACGAGTCATCAAATTCGTCTCGACCTGCATTTTCCCGACGTTCCCGAATGAGCTCAAGAAGCTCAAGACGCTCTTCTTCTGTTGGGTCTGTCTCGTCATCCCCACCATCGATATAACCCTGCGCAAATACTTCAATCCTCTTCTGCCATTCTTTTTCACCGAGGCGCGGCAATCTACAGCGAGTTACATCTTTTGTACTGGAGTAATTGGCTGCAGGAGTCTTGTACCTGGAGAAGCATTCTTCAGTTTCTCCTCTAATTGGTGCGAGTGACATCCAACTTCCGCCCATTCAGGCCCTGTGGTTTTGCTGTATTCGTGGCAGCAGCAGTGCGCATCCGAATCATCGCACTAACCAAAATACCTACGTCAGTAGACTGCAGAAGATCACAATAAGCCTGTGAGAGACTCTGCTCGCTTTGATCTTCAACATCACACATCTCCAGCACGGGACTCGTGCAGATTCGTCCGGTACCTCGAGACGCGTCGTTTTTCGATCTACTTTCTTCTCGCAAGGCTCGCCATCCCGATGATGGCAAGAATCAAAGCTGATATCGAAGTGGCCTCTCTTTGCTACAAGTGACGTTCCCTCCATATTGTATCATTTCGTCGATGCGGAGGATGGTGAAGGAAGACGCGTTGACGATAACGGTGTCAGCCGGCATATCTTAGTGTAAGGCCCCTGGGCAGATCAGTGGTTGCTGCTTCGCAGAGAACCATCATATTCGTGGTGGTGTTGTGCGTCCTTTTTCTGTTCAGACTGATAGCAGATCAATTCAATACTACCTACCATTAGGTATCCAAATGGAGATAGCAGGAATAAATTGGACAGCGTCATTGAGAGTGTCCCGAGGACTCTATATCTCCACACAAGGGTCCCTTGGTTGAGGGTTGAGATAGCGGGGCGTATGAGGAGATGATGGCCCTCTGGCGGTTGCTATAATACCATGAGTGGCCTTTGGGTTGAGGGAAGAGCATGCAGCATTCTGCAAAGATATCTCACATTTTCTAGAATATCAAAGGCCCTAGGACTCGTTGCAACGGACTACGACAACGCAAGTCCAACTAAGATAAAGGGGTCTAACCTCTGGATACTGGTTGGGGGTACAATACGGAGGGAAAATAAGTCGTAACACGTAGGAATCATGGCGCAAATAAAGGAGGAAGGATCGAGGTGCTTGCCTTTAGAAGTGCCATATAGCTTCCGGAAACATTTACAAAGCCCACCTATTTACTATAGGAACAGAAATAACACCCTGGACGCCTTTTGGAGTTTGAATTGGAGTTTGAATGGAGGTATTCTTCTACCCGTGAACCTTGGCTGAGAATAGAATCATTCCTAGGTCCAGCAAGCATTGTTTTGATATATCACTTGATTCATGACCGGATCTTGATTTACGAGAAAATATGAATGGGAAGTGAAGAGGAGTTACATTTTAGGTAGGAAGGAGGGGTAGGTCCACCTTTTTAGTCATCCGCCAGACGCGTGGGCCACGCGAAGTCATGCTCAGCGACGCGTCGACTAAAAGAATGACTCTAATCGTGCTAAACTCACAAAACATACAGAAGATACACAACACGACGCTCGCAAATCTCAATAATGCCACCCAAGAAAAGAGTCAGCGCTCCACCAGATCGCGTCTACGAATCCGCAAGGCCCAAACGTCAAAGCAAGCTTCCAGAGCAGAAGAAAGTCGTGAAGTCATACGGGAAGAAGAGTGGTCGTCGGGTTGCCAATGCAAAGGACGATGATACTCTCACGCAAATGGGATGGGTGACTCTCAGTTCGTTATCACATGAGGAAGAAGAAGAAGAAGTGGACTCTCCCGAAAGACAAATTAGGAAAACGCGAAGTACAGGCAGGAAGTCATTACAAGAGGAAGGGGATGACATGGACTATGAGGAAAAGTCTAAGAAACGAGGGAATAAGAGGAGAAAGACCATGGGAGACAAGCCGGATAATCCCCCGAAATACCTGACGCAGACAATAAGTCAGATGGACTGGAGTTTCACGTCGGCCGAAGATAATCTGGACAATGAAGAAAATCATGACTATGATATATACGATGGCCCAAATTCCTCACAATCCCTCAACGGTCCCAACAGAGTCCCAAGGCTCCTCCAGCCTGCTTCTCCAGTGCGACGAATATCACCACGCAGAACCCAGGCTTCCAGTACGATGCCTCCTCCTCAGACGCCTCGTCGGATCTTCCGTCAGGAAATCCCGTCCTCTGAATCGCCAGCAACCCCATTATCAACGCACTCAAAAGGCTCTGCAAGACGTTCGCCTCTGAAGGAAATGTCTATCAATGCTGCCATACCCTTCAGCACAGGTCGAAGAAATGAAAAGAGTGCTGGTAAACTTCCTAGACTCGAAGTCAAGGATACTTTTGATAGTATCACCGAAACGCAAAGTACTATAATGCCATCGACACCCGCAAAAAAATCCAGTCCAGCCAAAAGCGTTAGATTCGCTATACCCGAAGACGGTGAGGATATGTCTGTTTCATCACCAGCCGTAGGGAGGAAATCTTCCCGATTACCTCAAGCGTCACAAGGACGGACTATAATAACCGAAATTTTGGACTCGGATGCTGAGAGTGATGAAGAAGAAGCCTTAGAACCTGAGGAGCGTTTCCAAGCTAGCTCGGGAGAGCATCACAAGCAAAATACAGAAGAACAGGAACCCGAAGTACGGGAGTCGGTGCATACTGATTCCCAGGATTTTAACGACCTAGGACCAGAAACTTGTTACGGCGAAATCGGCCCCGAGACACAGGTGGAGGCTGGCAGGCTTCTCGATCTCGCTAGCAGCTCAGAAGATGTTCAAGCAACCGAAGTGGAAAAAGTGCAGGAGGTGGAAAAGTCTGAAGAGTTGGATGGATTAGAAGAAAACACTTTCCAAGAGAGGACCCAGATTATGGAGAGCCAGCGATTGACGAGTCAAGATATGAAATTTATGGCCCCCAGGACATTGAACTCGGATGTCTTTGTTTCAATCCATCCTACTAGAGTGGTAGGTTTCCTGGACGGAACGAGAAACCACAACACGTTCGGTCGGCCTTTACCACCCACGGTGTCACGAATATGGATGTATGAGACGGCACCACTATCGACCTTGAGATACATGGCTGTAATCGGTCCTGTCAAGCTTCCTAGCCAGATTTTGAGTGAAAGTGGCGAAGGGGACGCGGAATTTAACGCCAGTAAAGGCGGAAAAAGCTACGCGTACGAGATTCTTGCACTATATGAGCTTGCCAATCCTCTCTCATTATCAGAACTGAAATCGAATGAATGGCTACAAAAGGCACCAGGTCTGTTTAACTGGGTCCGGCCAGTTGTCCTGGATCAACTCATGGCGAATCTTATGCCACCAGTATTTGGTCCTGATTCCAACCAAAGCACGCCTCCGTCCTCAGCTACTGATACCCAAGAGGCTGGAGAGCAACTTATGAGCACGATTCAACAATTTACTCAGCCCCAAGAGCCGTCCTCCAGCCAGGTTGCCAACTCAAACGAACACGTTTCTCCTCAGGCTGTCTCAAGCCAAGTTTTGGAAGGCCGCGACGGCCCCGAAATCGTCCTTTCCAGCCAAATCATCAAATCCGAAGACCCAGATATTGACGAAGTTATCCCTTCAAGCCAGCAAGAAAGCGAACAAGAACTTACACCCATCAAACCCCGAATCCCCGGCCCATCTCAAGCAACCACGGTCGATCTCACCCAATCCCAGACCCCGCGTCACTCCTCACCCACCGATATCATCTTCGAATCACCCCGACGTCCCATTCCCTCCAGCACACCCCTCCGATCCCCGACACCACGCTCAGCAGCAGATGATTACCAAGGACCGGAATCGCTGGTACCGTATTCAATGGCGTCGTCGCAGCTGTTGACCAAGAGCCAGATGTTGCCTGAAGGATTGTTGGGCGAGAGTGTACCGGGCCCGCCGGTATTTGTGGGGGATTCTGATGACGAGGACGATGACTATTATTCGATTGGGCTTTGAAGGGGATATAATGTGTTGGTTTTGCGCACATATTAGGAAGGGAAGGTCAGATTGTAAGGCCGGGAGAATATTTGTATAGCATAAATAGGGAGTAACAGGTTGGCTATCGCTATTGGACATGGAATGGTAGTGTAGGGTAGAGACACAGGATACTCACCTCAAATAGCATGAATGGATATGCCTTTTTGGAAGCGTCCCACGCGTTCTATTATGTGACCCGAATTCATTGTGATAAGTAATGCTTCTCTATTACACAAATCTACATTATCCCTTTAGGATACACCTCTTACATAGTCTAAACTTCTAACCTCGCAATAATTCGCATCCTTGTCTATCTTAGGTACACATTCAAAAAGCATGCTGCAGTGAGATCTAACACAACTGAACAAAGAGCACTTCCCATCCAACCTTTAAAATTCGGAAGAGGAAAAACCACTCGATGCTATGTTAATGGTTTTTCGCGACGTGCGGTATACTAAACATAACTGATAGCCCTCCTGCTGTCTTTCTAGAAAAGAAAGGGGTTGGGGAGAGGAGGGGAAGGTAGGAAAGGGGCATTTAAGCGAGGAAGAGGAGAATACCAATGCAATGAATGGTTCGTCAACGCAAAAAATACCGGTTAGATATGTGTAATGAAATGATGAATTGGAACCTTCTAAAGGGAAACTAAGGCATGTATTTCATACATGGTGGGGAAGGGCGATTGATGATCAAAGTGTCTAGGCAAGGAACCGTTAGGGATCGTACCTAACATACCTTGCCTTAAATTACTAAATGTACCTCTGTAAGCATATTTTATCGATAATTGGGATTGCTAGCGCGTTACGCACAGATAGATAATCCAAATACAAGATAAATTTGGGTTAATTTACTTCCAAATACGCTATAATAGCCGGTTTTCCTCCTTAGCTCGCTTCGCTGAGTACTTTAATAACGAATGCAAAAAAGAAAAAAAGAGTAGGTTAGGACACCCTCGAACGAGTTCGACGATTAATTCTTGAAGAAACCTAGACCAATGCACCATTACACGTTGGTGTATTTGGAGTTTTGTCTATTCAATTATATATACCCCCGGCATGCCGGCAGCTTGTTGAATGTGAATTTGAACGTGAAATGCAAGGCCTGCTGTTTGTACTTAACGACGCGAAGTGCAATTGTTTTCAAGCATTTAGGCTTCCTAGATAAAGTTTGCTATAATTGTAATTCGCCATTAGATACTACTATGCAATAATAGCTAAGATCTGTAAATACTTGGGTTTGTGCATAGTATGCAATACATACCTGGTGCACTTATTAGGCATATAGGATAGCATCTTATAAAGAGGGTCTATTTATAATATATGTTCCCTTTATATAGCTTATATAGTAAAATCTACATAAGACCTAGGATAGTCTAACCCTTAGCCTGATTTTGTGAGAGGGTATCGAGATAAGTTCCTGCAGGCATGCAACCCCTACCCCCAGACCCTGTGTGGAGGACATTTATCCAGACAATACCGGTTAATAAGTATAGCATTAATTACCTCTCTTATTCCACATTTGAGGAGGAGTACTGAAGATCAATCAGCATGAACCTTCGCAAGTAAAAAGATCTGTCTAGATAGGACCATGTTGGGGACTCCAATGCAACCTTGTTCGCCACAGCTAGGAATAAGATCTGGCAGATGACAACGCGGGGCTAAAAGATCGTCCCAAATTGGGGGACGCTTTCTTCGCACCATATTACCATTGGTACTGTATCGTCCCTTTCAAGAGTTCCTAGTGGCTCGTAATCGGTTTGCAAGCGCTGATGCTCACCGAATAAGGGTGACTGGAATGGCAGGCTTTCAAATCCAGAAATCCTCTATTCGAGCATCGCCACGTGCCACTGTTCAAATGGCTTCGAGGTTGATCGCGACCAAGGTTCCTTAAGATCGACGTGTGAGCCATTAATGTTTGAATGCGACTCTATCTCTTGGGAGCCTTCTTTGCAAAAGCCCTTCTCCAAGCTCATCACTTACTTGTACGCCATTTTGTTTTGATTTTTCCTGGTCTATCTTTCAAAATGCACTTCTCATATTGTTTGAACTTCATCGGTGTAACTTGTCTGTCCATCACAGCAACGTATGTTTAACTCTCGTTTCGTTCTATGGAGGGCCGAGAGCTTAAAATGGGAGTCAGATCAATCTTGACATGGGTCCTTCCAAAGTGTCACCATCTGACTGCAACAGAGCTGTTCCTACCAGTACTCGATCAGAAGGCCGAAGTACAGCAGAAAATGAGACGTCTGGCACGACATGGCTTGACGACTACGAGTACGTAATCGTAGGCTCAGGGCCTGGCGGTGGTCCAGTTGCTGCCAGATTAGCAATCGCCGGGTTCAAAGTGTTAGCCATCGATGCTGGAGATGATCAAGGATCGACGTATCAGGAACAAGTACCGGCTTTGTCGCTGAAATCCACAGAGTACGGGCCCATGAAGTGGGATTACTTTGTCAATCACTATCAAGATGAAGCACGACAAGAAAAGGATTCCAAAATGACTTGGCAAACCCCCAGTGGAGATCTATTCGTTGGAATTGGGGCACCAGCTGGTTCAGCACCACTCGGTATTCTATATCCTCGTGCCGGCACACTTGGAGGATGCTCCTCTCATAACGCTCTCATCACAGTATTGCCGCACGATAGTGATTGGACTGACATCGCAGATATCACTGGGGATACTTCATGGTCACCAGATAACATGAGAACATACTTTGAGAAATTGGAACGGAATCGATACCTTCCAAGCAGCGTAATTGGTCATGGCTATACTGGATGGCTCGGGACGGCTCTTACGGATCTGTCACTGGTAGTAGAAGATTTCAAAGTCCTTTCCTTAATAGTTTCCGCCGCGACAGCAATGGGAAAGTCATTAGTTGGTATTGTGATAGGCACAGTTGTAGGACTTGGCGAAGTCCTCTTGCGTGACCTTAACGCCCCAGGTCAAGTTGAGGAGGAGGGTCTCTACCAAGTTCCTCTTGCCACGGCAGACTCTACTAGAAATGGACCTCGGAATTTTATCTTGGATACTGCAAATTCGGTCAACGCGAATGGCTCGCGAAAGTATCATCTCGATATTCGTCTAAACACCCTAGTAACAAAGATTCGTTTCACCCAAAATGGAACTACGCCCAAGGCTGTTGGAGTGGATTTTCTCGATGGTCAGAGTCTCTATCGCGCAGACCTTCGAGCAAACAATACCTTTCTTCAAACCATGCCAGACCCGTGCCTTACGCGATGGATCAATGGTGTCACGCCCGCACTTAAAGGAGCATACGCAACGAATGGAATTGCCATTGCGGTTATCAAAAAGTCTTCCGTAGCTATTGATGACCCTGATCTTTTGATATCCGGTGTGCCGGCATACTTTCCTGGCTATTTCCCTGGCTACTCAAATTTCGCTGTCAAAGATGCACGCCACTGGTCCTGGATCGTTCTGAAGGCTCACTCCCGAAACAATGCAGGGACCGTTAAGCTACACTCCACAGATCCTCGAGATGTCCCAATCATTAACTTTAACTCTTTTGAAACTGGTGTTACAGCAGATGATGCAGCCGAGAAAGACCTGCAAGCTGTGTACGAAGGAATTGAATATGCTCGTGAAGCTTTCAAAGTCCTTATTCCTCTCGATGGTTCATTCTCCGAAGTCTGGCCTGGCCCAAACGTGACAACAGAAACGGAGATGAAGGACTTCTTGAAGGCCGAAGCGTGGGGTCATCATGCAAGTTGCACTTGCCCAATTGGCGCAGATGATGATACGATGGCGGTACTGGACTCGAAATTCAGAGTTCGGGGAGTTCAGGGGCTAAGGGTTGTGGATGCGAGTGTTTTCCCTAAAATTCCTGGATTTTTTATAGTGTTGCCAATCTACATCATCAGCGAGAAAGCGGCGGATGTAATTATTCAAGATGCTGCTTGAGGCGGGAAAATGTATGCGAATTTGATAGGTTATTCATGACCCGTGTAATGGCGATTTTTGGCCAACTCCCATCTGTTGAACCTGACTTGGTGACTGATACTTCATAACGTCTCCTGCGTTGAAATCCAGGGGTCTGCCCCTGAGATTTTAGCGACCTTTGCGCTAAACTGAGACTTCCTCACCACTACTCCAACATCATCACTTCCAAAGAACATCATGATTACTTTCCAGTGTCGCCTCAAAGGAACTGGAAAGGCTCAAAAGGGATTATATTCCTCATTTCTGCAGCATTTCCGCCGCTTTCCTTGCTTTGGCTTTCAAGCCGCTCAATTCTTCGTCCAAGCGATCTGTAGTTGATTCCTCGAAGTGCTTCTAATCAGCCGTGCTATTTCTGTCGCGGAGGTTATAACTGCCAGGCTTTTCATTGATCTCGATAGTTACGCGGACCATTCGTTATAATGTCAAGACGAAACTACAAGCATCTCCAACGGCTGTACGACGGAAGCATAAACTGCTTGCATAAAAGTCTTATCTGCCCAGTTTGGCTTCCCCTCAAAAAGACAGAAGATACACCATTTGATCACGGGTGCCATCTTTGGTTCCTCTTCCGCCACCTTATCTAGCCATTCTATTGCTGTAAGGTAGTCGGTGCCCTCGAGTGCTTTCCCATCGGATGAGAGATGGCCTTTTCGTAGCTCTGTCTGGTTCTCAATCGGCTCACCAAAACAAAGCTCAAGCAATAGAATACCGAGGCCGCTAAGGGTTTTGCGAGGAAGGATACGTGGTGTCGGTGATGATCTTGGGGTTTGAGTTACTGCGGCAAAGTCATGGTTGATGTATGGTTCATCAACGAATACATCAGAACCTTGGTAATAAAAAAGGATCTGCTTCTTTTCCAGATTATCGGATAGCCAAGGGGTTGTCTGAAGTTGTAATAGCGATGATGCCATTATACTTGCTATCTTGTATCGTTTTTGCCTGCTCAGTTTCAGGTGGCCACCACTGCTGAGTAATTTGTCGAGGCTGATTTCCTCTCGGCCTTGAGATTCGCGTGCTGATTCTTGGACCCATCGGACCTCATGTTGCTGGTGCTCGTCATCTGAGAGGTAACCCAAGCATTCAGTGTTTTCAACTGCGCCTTTCAATGAGGAGCACAAGTCGTCGATTTTGATATTAACACCGGAGTTATCTACAAATAAAGATGGTGGGAGAACTGGAAAGTTTTGTTCCTTAGGCAAGGTTGGAAAATCTTTCGCACGCTCAACATCGCCCGAAGCGGTGGGCAAGTCGGACTCAAAGCGAAGGCGTTTCTTGGGTTTAGACTTTCGCATAGCTCCCCATTTTCTGTCACGCTTTAGTTCAAGATAACAGAAACTCGGACATATTTTGTTGAGACCTACTTGGAGTGATTGTCCACCAAAATCTCTGTCTCATCGGCTATCGATATGCTCGAAGTGGTGGTCACATTTGACTCGCTCTTTGTAAATATGCTTGCAAAACTAAAGCTGGGCGAGGCAAAGGATGAAGACTGAGGACCAAATCGAATTGGCAACGTATTAACGTTGACATCAGGTAAAGACTTGGTCTCAAAGTTAGTTCTAAGTTGCGTTATATAAGTTTTTTGAATAGGAACGGGGGATGGTCTGTCCAGTGACGAATTGTGTCTTGATTCTTTGGCATGTATGATCACCTTTCTCCGCAAGCTCTGTGGGGCGGAATCTCGGGGTGGAAGAGCGAAACTCATGGTGAATCGTGGAGAGAGATCACTTGGCTGTCGTTTTTGCAGCTGGAGACCGGATTGATGGGTCGCTTCGCAATTGCATTTCCAGCTATTTTTAATGGCAGAATGCAAGTCAACTGCATGTTGCCTAATGGTCTCAAACAGTTTCCCCCAGGTAGTATCTTTTGAAATAGTCTTCATGCCGTCCAATGTGTCGTTAGTGCTATCCAAAAGTTCCAAGAGGTTCTTCAAGTCCTGGATTTTTTTCTCGAGTGCTTGGACAGTCCTTGTACCGTTCTCACTGAAACTAAGCTGGATCCTCTTGGCTTGATATTTCCATTGTTTCTCTCCAGGATTAGCCCAGTCGACCTGATATCAAGTTAGCACAGTCTAGTCACGTGGATATCACACGCACAGTGCCATCTTTCAGAGACATCATATCTTGCAAATCTACCATGTCCTCATTCATTGCCCTCAGAATATCTATACATGCATCGTATGAGTCTCCAAGTCGCAATTTCAAGGCTTCGATAATGTCAGCCCGGCGCCAGCCTTCGTAATCCGGCGTTGTCAAGAGCATTTGCTTCTCCTCTGGCTCGAGCTGTACTCGGATCAAAAGCTTCTTCAGGACAAGTTGGAACATTTGTCTCTGGATATCGACCGAGGTGATGAAGTCTCGGAAGACAAATTTAAATCTTTTCCATCTGACCAAGGGTTCGAAACCCTTCTTGTAATGCTCTGCAGCCGAAATAACGAGAGGCAGTGCTCCAAGGATAAGACCAACCACTTCGACACCAGACATCGCGGCAACAAATCTAGTATGAGTATTGCTGATTGAGGGCGTCGTTCATGGTGAGGCTCAAAGCATTCCATCTCTTGAGGTTGCGAGATTCAGCTTCACCCCTGCACTGCATGAACCTAAGGCATATGCTGTGTCCATTTTTGAGGTGTCATCCCCTCATTGGCTAGGTAAGCGCCAGTCGAAGTGTGCACTTCTCACAGCCTTGACAAGTTGTTCTTGGAATAGGAAAAAGTCTCAGATTATCTCATTGGCAATATTGGACTTGACAAGACCTCCGTGGAAATGAGCCCAAGCTCTACTCCCTAATTGGAGTAGCGACACCAAACAGAAGCCGCTGGTCACCTCTACGGTCTGCTGATGTTCTCAACTTACTTCTGAACTTGTGTCGAAGCATTTGCTAAGAGCCTCGGGATTGTGTTCAGAACTGCGTGGTCTTCAAATGTAGCAGCAATCGCTGGATTTCAATACCAGGCACTGGTCAGAGTTGAAATGACGAGCCAAAACCCGCTTGCTAGCTTCCCTAATCCACCCTCGCTGAACTCCATCTCTTCTCTATCACAGGACTGCTTAAAGCGCTTTGAAGAAATCTGCGGCATACTACAGGACCTTGACCAGGAAACCGCCACCAGAAATGGATACGACCGTAATCCGGTACTCCTAGCTCTACAAGATGCTCGTGCGAGGTTTAAAGCGTGGGGTACCAGTATTGCAGGTTTCCGCAAACCGCATCTACCCACGTCTTTGGATTTTCGTCTCAGGGAAGCCCCTGAAATTCGCACTCGGCTTCTGCAAGTCTTAGAGTATCTTCAAGAATATTTAAATGATGGTTTGACTCGCTTCCAGTAGCACATTGTCCTTTACTGATAGAGGGTAGCAACTCAGATAGTAGTGGGTGATAAGGCCAACCAGATGTGGCAGGATGGCCTAGTCAGCGACAGTGACTCGGAGGATGAACCCGAGGTACAATTTGGTGGAATGGTTTCAAACACAGACCAAGACACTTCAGAAATTCAAGAGCTGTGCACGGCTATTAGTAATTCTAACGGGAGCCTAATGAAACTTTCGATGCTCATCCGCGAGTCATCAAATCGTGATGATTATCTCAAAGCAGCTTCTCGGTACAGCACTTGGGACCCAACTTCATATATTGGTCACGTAAGAGAAAAGTATGGATCGGCAAAAGGAAGTAGCGATTGGCTGGTCGAGCGATTAGGGAAGGCAATCGTGAGACGCCGTCAATTCCTGAAGTATCGAGAAGAGCATCATGGAAAGTTGACCGGCGATTGGGGTGAGATACTTGACGAAGTTGCCGAAGAGAAGGGGCCAGAAAAGACAAAACCTCCGAGAACAGTTGCATCAACGAAAGCAACAACGTTCATTGTTGATGGGAACATCAAAAAGGACGGATCGGATGCAGGGGGTTCATTCGGATCACAGACTTCATACCAAGCTACTACGTATGAAGCTGATGGTGCCCCGACCAAGCTCACAGTTCCACCACCTCCAAAGTGGGCCTTCCAAGATGTCCCTTTCCATTATGGAGAGCCATTCCAGTGTCCGTTTTGCTATACTGAGCAGGAGGTAACGAATAAGGCGGCGTGGAAGTAAGCTATCAACCCAAACCTTAGCGCTCTGGGCACTGACACTAAAATAGAAAACATGTCTTCAGAGACTTGAAGCCATATGTGTGTACTTTTTCCGGATGTGCAATGAGAATGTTTCGAAGCCGAAATGAGTGGTTTTCTCATGAACTTCAGTACCATAGAAGAGAATGGGTTTGTCAACACTGCCAACATCCTGCTTTTACTTCTGCGGCGGCGTATTCGCGCCATTTGGAAGGAACCCACCCTACAATTCTGCAAAAGGCTCAGCTTGAGGCTTTAATTCTCCAAAGCGAAGAGCCAGTTGACAAAATATCAGCAAATGCTTGTCATCTTTGCGATGAATGGGAAGCAAACTTGAACAACTCAAAACAAGATGCAAAGAGGTTACTTTTGAATGGAGGGTCAGTTGTAGAGCCTTATGGAACGCCGAAGCAATTTCGGAGACATCTAGGCCGACATATGGAACAATTGGCACTGTTTGCTTTACCAACGCAAGAAGGAGAGAATTTAGAAGATGACAGTCTGGACGACGCAAACGATGATGATTCCGAACACAGTGATTTGGCCGAGAATTTGGAAAGTTCAGATCGAGCTGCTTCATACATTGTCCAAGATACCGAGGTGCCACCACAATCAGCTATGGAAAGGCTAGAAGCTATCATGTCGCATTTTCAAACCAAGATTTTACCCCTCTGCGTCCAATTCAGCGCTGCGCCGCCCACCGACCCCGACAGGCGGGAGTTCGAGCATAAGAAGTTGAGTGAGACGATCATGAGTGAGATAATGCTCAAAATTGATGATATAGATACCAAGGGTGATAGTGAGGTTAGGCAAAAGAGGTCAATTTTGAGATCAGAGACGATGGTTGTTTTGAATAGCTTGGATACAGCAGTCTTAATGCCGACGGTTGACTTACCTCGAGAACAACAAACCCCTGCTCCAGATCCTGGGCTAGAGACAGCTGACGATGAACGGGGGGTTCCAGAGGCTCCATTTGGAACGGGACATGGCAAGAAGAAGGTGATGAACAAACTTGCAAAAGAAGATCCCCTCGAGAAACAAGGGTCGAGAGTGGTAATTCCTCCATTGGTGGTTCCATTGTCTCCAGTCAACTTCGAGTCCAACCCCTCAGGTAGTCCGGATCGCAAGAGCTTCCCAGGACCCATTTCCGACCCTAGTAAAAGCAGTGGTGTGTTCAATTCTTCCGATCGCGATTTCCAGTTTGATCGCACGACGCAAGAAAATAGGAATGAGGCTTTAGCCTCGGGGGGGAAGGGGGAGGCTAGCGCATTTTCTGAGCGCGGTGATGTCTCCAGTTTTATGGTACACGATGACGAAGTCGTGTACCATGACCTTGCCAAACTTGCCATTGATCATGGAACCATGTTTGAAGAAGACCAGGCACATGTTAATGCTCGAAGCGAGGCAGCTTCACACGAGGCGAAGGTCAGAGAGGGAGAAAAGAAGTCCACTGGTGTTCAGGAAGAATCAGGGGCCGGACACGGCAGCAAACCTTACTACTGCTCCTATGAAGGTTGTGAGAGAAGGGTATACGAAGGCCATGGGAACCTGCACTCCCACATGAAGCGTGTACACAACGACCCAGGCCAAGCGAGAAGTAACTCCCCCGGGCATTTCCCCACGGGTGGTACTTTTAGCAATTCAGCAAAGCAACTTGGGGATGAGGCAGTTATCCCTGATTTAACTAAACAGGAACACCTTCATGATGAGATTCTGCACCCACGGAACCATCTTCCTCCAGCTCAAGACCAACGGGGCCGGACAGGCCCGGACTTGAGGGTTTCCGACGAAGAAGATGCATTCCAATTCCCTCAGCCGTTGGCAGATGTCAAGGAAGCATTGAGTTTTCCCAAGAGATCCAGGGGTGGTCAGACGAGTAATCTCGAGATCGATATTCAAGAAGAACGCGATGAATTCCTCCCACCACCAGACATCGCAGGTGCTTCCGAGGAGCTATCAGAAGGGATAAGCAGTCTTATAAGAGGATTACCTAATCCAGATGAAGAATGGACAAAGATAAGAGGATTACCTGGTCCAGATGAAGAGTGGACAAAGATCTCTGATCTGGCCGAGCGTAGGAGAATTCAAAATCGAATTGCGCAAAGAAACTACCGTAAGTAAAACTAGCAAATATGCAAGCGGATGACTAACTGGAAAATAGGTAAGAAGCTTAAAAAGCGTCTTGAAGACCTTGAGGCAAGGGCAAGTTCATCCTCAGATCCGTCTACTCAAAACCCAGTGGAACTTCAACCAAGTGACTCCAATGAGAACTTTGGGTCGATCAATGGTGTTTCTGATGACGGATTTGTGTTTATGAGGAAGAAGAGCTACGACAGGCCCCGAAAACAAAACATTAATAATGACATTCTTCAATATCTTGCCGGAGCTCGTCCTGATGAGGCAAGCTCACCGGATTTCAACAAAATTCAACGGCAGGCCCCGCAGGCACCGCAGGCCCCATACCCTGCGTCTGTTGTTGATGAGCTGGGAAAGGAGGAAACGGCCCGGGTGGCAAGAAGGAGTATTGACAAAATAACAAGTCCCTTAGAAACCTCTATTGCCAAAGGCTGGATCGAGAGATACGATGCAGCGGCGACTAAAGATGGACAGCCCAAGGAACAAAATGACAAAGCGGAAGCAAAAGCACCAAACACAGCTACAGAGAAAAAGTTGCCCATCAAGTTCAAAGACTCCATTGGACGTAAATACAGCTTTCCTTGGAACCTATGCTCCACTTGGGCTGTAAGTGACTACCCCTTCTGCATAAGATTTCACCGAGCTAACAAGACCCAGGGTATGGAAGAATTAATTTTCGCAGCCTTCCTCGGTGTCGATATCGTGGGACCGCAAGTCCAAGCAGGCCGTTATGATCTAGTCGGCCCTGATGGTAAGATCATTTTGCCACAAGTCTGGGAGCAGCTTATCGAGCCTGGCATGTCTATTACGATGCACATGTGGCCCATGCCTGAAGCCTCCAACCTTCCTAGTGTTGAGCTTGATGAATCGGATCGAAGCAAGAAAACACAACACGTTCCTTCTCCACCATTAGGCAGGTAATAGGAGAATACCTAAACGGAAGGGAACAAAAAGGGACTCGTCCAAAATAGAGCTTCGCCCCTCAAGGACGCTAGAAGGAAAAGGCACCAGCCCAAGGTATCTTCAATGGGCAGGAGATACGTTTTCCAAGTCGGGATCGGGGCGCTGTTGAAGAGGTTCTCGCACTAGCCAGCGTTGGAGACAAAATCCCTCTCAAAAGATCTAGCAAGAAAAAAGGATATGTGATCTCACTATATGTCCAAACTAGGAGGAGAGAAAAAATCAATGTATTTGTGAAATTTGGCTATGCTCTATGACCAGAGCTAAAAGTCACTCGATTTCCATATTCTCCGGAAACTCCTATGTACGCCATACCAATGCAAATATCAGAATATGTATACAAGGTATCATTCAATAGACATTTTCATGAGCCCATCCGTCGAGTCAACCATCCCTTGAAGACCGACTCGCTTTGGTGGCGGACCACCGTTTTTCCCTGCTTCTCCATTACTCGGAGGGCGACCCCATGGCGTAGCATCTCTCTGCATGGGGCTTTGAATCACGGGACTGTTATGTGAGCTCATGCCCGGACTGACCGCCCTTCGCTTGAAGCTGCTGGGGTCAAAATCATCGTCTCGCCGCCGCTTCTTGTTCACTTTCTGTGTAATCTCAGCGGCTGTAGGACCAGTCCCAGGCTGTGGAGTTGCTGATCGGGATGGTGATGACATAAGCGAATCATATGTACTGTGCGTTCCAAGTAGAGGAGGCGTAGTTAAGTCCAGTGAAATATCTTCACTCATTCCTGAAGATGAGCCGCGGGGAAGGAAATGTGGAGGGGGTGTACGATTCTTTTCGTCGGTGAAGTTTTCCCAGAATCCTTTGCCTTTGGAGTTGCGCATGGCATGCTGCTTGAAGCTGTTTGAAAGCCCTGATGAGAGATCGGTCATTGCATCATCTTCAGGTATTCCCTCTAAAGACTCTTGCGTAGGACCAAGGGTCGGCGACGAATGTGTAGTTGTCAAAGAGGGATTTCGGGTGAGTTCGAGATCGGCGTCACTTTCCCAGGTTTGGCGGACGACTTCAGCTTCTCGGCGAACTTCAGTTTCCACAGGGGCATTTTCTTCTGCGAGGGCGGCTCGGATACGGGCGAAGCCTTTGGTTTTAGGCTAACACAGGTCAGCATTGGACCGAATTATGGCAGCATCATGGCACTTACTAGCATGTTGCCTCTCCGGGTTACGACCCTCCGGATAACCCCTCTTTGGCCTTCTCGACTGGGAGTGACTGGCATACCATCAACGGACTCCAAGGTAGACTTCAATGTACCATCGTCACTTTCGCTGCCAGATATGTGTAGCTGGGTTGCCGCCCAGCTGATGCTTTCCCTCCTTGACTGTAATCCTTCTGACTGCATTTCCTTCCCAAGGTAGTTATTGTTCATGCCTTCGATACTTCGTATGTTGGGTGGTGATTTGGAGGCTGGGCTGACCATCGAGTTTCCACTTCCACTGCTTGAACTCTTTCTGCTCTTGCCATGTCGTAATCGAGCTCGTTGGAAGTTCATGAGGCTGCTGACTGCTGGAGACTGTGCAAGCCACCCATTTCCTGGGCTGCCTTGCGGGATTGCGCCAAACAATGTGTTCATCTTGCCCACCTGCGGCGTTGTGAGGATGGAGTCGTCGATGTCATCGGCATCCATGAGATCATCTTCATCAGAGCTGCTGCCAGAAGACTCCGAACCCATCATGTTCACACTCCCCAAAGAACTCGACACGCCCATACGATCCGCGTTCGCCATGGTCGACCACAAAGAGTTTGAGTTGTTGTTTATAGACTCAGGACCGGAAGAAAAGTGCAGGCCATTCGTCCTATTTGGTATATTCATCGCCCGTCCCGAAATAGTTGGCGACGAGTCCGGTGATGATTGTTCGGCGAGGGTTGAATGATGCAAATTGGTAGCGGCTCGCGAAAAGTCCAATCCGCGTGATCGCCGTGGAAGCACACTTGAAGGCGATCCGTATGTTTGTGAATGATCTAGCTTTGGTGACAACGGCACCCGACTGACATATGCGGAGGTATTGGTAGACATCAAGTCGCGTGTCGGCATCTGCAGAGACAGCCCACGCACGGGGAAGGCAGGCCGCCGAGGGGTTATGGGGCTGTCGCTGATGGCGCTGTCGTCTTTCGAAGTGCGTTTCTCGGGTTCTTTAAATTTGGGAGATGGCGACAGCATTGGAGGATCTCCATCTGACAGCGAGCGCGCTTTGGATGGGGATCTAGAGGCAGTCCGTCGTTCTGTTGTCCCTATCCCAAGCCCTTCGTTTCGAGTACTACTGTCACCAGGCTCCAGCGGGGGGGTGGCTTGCCCATGCTGATGTTCATTTAATTGACTCCGCAACATGATTTCGACAACAATGGGGTGAATTTGTACTCGTACAATTCGGGCTGGACGAGGCTACGAAGTCCTCAGGTCATCGTGGCTCGGCGAAGGAGGCTTTCGAATCCTTCATGGTTTGGGAGATGGGGAAATAGCCGAATATATCAATCAGATGGTGCGGTATGGTTCGTCTAGTCTTGTACAACACCGAGGTTCTTGTCCTTTGGTTATTGTCCAGATACTTGGAGAGTTAATGTTGCGATTGTGATGAAGTATGGTCGATTTATAAATGCACCCCCTTCACCACGGTACAAATTTGATAATCAAGAACGCCAAGTAACCGTGCCACCCCTGTTTCCTGCAGCCATCGCTCGATGACGAAGCTTTCGCAGACCATTCTGAGAAATACCCGCTAGGCGCACGGACAGCTCGATATTCTCCGAGGAAGTTTATATGGATGATTGATTATATATGCTCTTTGGGAAGACGAATCTGATAGAGCCACAAGTAGGACCTACCTTATCATAAATATGACAAGCATACAATTATCAAACACTATAGCCGTAGCCATAGATGTTGCAATATACAATTTGAAAGCCGTTAGACATTGTAGTCCCAGATTGCGCGCTAGAGCTTCTTTGCTCCTGTTCTCCAAAGGCTAACATCTCAAGTAACTATACTATACCATACACACGAGACCCTCAATGTCAACGATGTTCGTGGATCATGGAACATTTGTTGCAATGGAAATATGCTCCAGACTTCACATTTATGCTCCTCTATTGAGGTCCTGAGCCGGCTCTTCACTTCCTGATCATCAGAGAAGGAATTTTCTTGAACATAACATACGATGGCACCTACTCGAGTCCCTTCGCACCATCGAAGGCGCTCAGCCAATTCATTGGAGGGCCAGAGAGGGACTCTGCGTACCAGTAAGGCAACCTTGCATGGAGACATTGGTATTCGGGATCGTCTCCATCACTTCACGGTAGGACTCAGTCAAAATACCCCTGATTTCGACGTACTGACTCTATTTTCAGTGGGCCTCCTACAATTTGACAATGGCCACTGGAGGTATAGCATTGATTCTGGCAAGAACTCCTCATAGATTCGACGGCCTTACGGTCCTTGGCGATATCGTCTTTCTTCTCGATATAGTCCTATTTCTCGGTATCTGCATAGCGATATCGACTCGATTCATCCTCTTCCCAAAAGCGTTTATGGCCTCTCTTCGACATCCCACCGAGTCTCTATTCTTCCCTACATTCTGGATCTCATTAGCCAATGTGCTTAACAATGTGCAGGAATACGGGGTGCCGAAATGCGGCCCCTGGCTGGTTGTCACATTGCGTGTCCTATTTTGGGTATACATTGCTTGTACCTTCCTTCTGGCAGTGGGACAATACTTCTTTCTCTTCACTGGCAAGCCGCTCACGATCCAGGACTTCACGCCAGCTTGGATTCTTCCTGTATTCCCGGTGATGCTTTCAGGAACGGTTGCGGCAATCATCGGCCCTTCTCAACCCCCAGAACATGCTCTACCAATTTTATTCGCAGGCGCGACATTCCAAGGTCTCGGCATCAGTATCTCGACGTATATGTTCTCGACTTATCTCGGTCGTCTTATGGCACATGGTCTCCCGCGGCCAGACACTCGTCCAGGAATGTTTATCGCTGTTGGACCACCAGCTTTTACAGGTCTGACATTTCTAGGCATCTCTAATAGTCTGGCAAACATCTACCCGTCCTACACTACTGTGTCGGGAGTCAACCATCCTGAAATAATTGCTGACATTTTTCGTATCGTGGCTCTCTCTGCAGCCATCTTTTTGTGGGCAACAGCATTCTGGTTCTTCAGCATCGCCCTCGTAAGCGTACTTCATGGTGTTTTTACACAAGGACTAACCTTCCACCTGGTGTGGTGGGCGTTTGTCTTCCCGAATGTGGGTTTTACGATCTGTACAATTAATATTGGTCAAGCACTTATGAGTGAGGGGATCTTGTGGCTAAGCAGTGTGATGACAGTTTTGCTGGTGATCGTGTGGCTCTTTGTCGGAACCATGCATTTCCGCGCAGTGTGGAAGAAACAAATTTTGTGGCCTGGGAAAGATGAGGATCATGATCAATGAGAGTTGAACTTCCAATTTGGCTGATATAATCTGAGGTGCCGGGAATTCGTCGAATCCTGCGAAGATATTCTGCCTAGTAAAGATATGACCCAAACTGGGATTGAATTACCTGAGACGCCTGGTGGCGTTGGTGGTATTGGGGTCGGAGATGGGAAAATGAGAGGAGACTTCATGTATAAATTTGCTTGGTGGAGATGTCATAATATAGGCACATAGTAATGGATTAAGAGCCTCAGACATGTCTCAAGAATAGTAACAAGCTGCAGATTCCCGAATTCTGACATATGCTGAAATATGGTAGGAAGTAAGTGAAATATCAATCTCTTGCCAGCAAGTGCAGTCATCCCATATAGGAGGCCTCTAATAACATGATGAGGAAATTCATCGCATATGTTTGTTTCTCATTCTTGACAGCTATCACCAAGACTTATTCTGCGGGTCTGGTTGAGTGACAGTGAGGGAAGTCGGAGAGATATCATGAACAAATATGACGCGATACATGCTCAGCCACCAAGACTAATAGAGGAAGATGAGAGGAGGGCACAAACAAGTGTTTCTACTGCTGCGTATAAGAGGGGAACATCCCAGGAGAGAAGGGAAATGGAGCGGGAGAGGCCGAACTTAGTATTCTGGAAATGAAGTGCAAAGCTACCCTTTAACGGCTCTCTGATGCAGATTTGCTAGCTAGTCTTTTCCACCAAGTGGTGCTGATTCTTAAACATCTGCTTGTGGCTTTCGGAACTTGCCAATTCCTCCTAGAATAATCATAATGTACTGCAGGAACTGTAAGTCAAAGTCATGTCTTGAACGGAGACATTCTAAACGCAGCTAACAGCATGTTCTTTTGGATTGCTCAATAAATCCAACAACGCTTACGGAGAGACTCATGGTCTACACAATCAAATAACGATACCAAAGCCTTGGTTCGAAAGCCATGAATTATTTTCTTTTAAATCTACCACAGAATTCTACAGATGATAGCCTTGAAGATCTACAGAGAAAGGTCATGCAGAAGCTATGACCCTATGATCCATATTTTGATACCGGCAGAGTAAGCAATAACAAAGATGCGCAAGTCTCGTAGGATGGATGTGAAGAGCAGAAATACCAGGAGATAGAGATAGTAACTTTCATAGTTCCCTTCATTATTAAGATTGCCCTCTCAATCTAAATCCACATCCGTAGAAGGCGCCATAACTGACAGCTCTTGCGCAATGGCCGGTGTTGGCGAGCCGTGCAGACATGTCAACAAGAAATCAAACAAAAGACCCGACAATGAAAATAGCAACATAAACCTCAATTTTCAACAGTGGAACGGGTGTGCAAGTGCAAGAATTGGCTCAACATTCCCGCCGTCAATCATGTCTTTGACGAATAGCGATGAGGAGGGTGAGAATCAATCCTTTGGGCTAGATCGGAGCGAAGGAAGGAGTGAAGATGAAGCTCGTAGTGGTATGTATTTCGATGAAGTTCTTGATGTTCATGAGTTGACTCCCCCACGTTGTCGGACTATCTATTGTACGGTCGGTTCTGCAGTTGTACATGAGGTGGGGTGGGGTTGGGGTTATTCTTTCCTGCGAGGACAGCTCCAGCGCATCCTGATCCACTCAAGCTTGCATGCCATCCCGTCCCATGGCAAACCGCCCCAAGGACGCAGCAACGTCTCGTGCAAATGGCCTCGATATTTGGTGCAAGAGCTGTTGCTTTTTCGCAGCCTCTGGGGAAACCAATTACTGACACTCCCGCAGCGCATACCAGCGACGACGAATCTTACGAAGTCGATGATCGGGAGTCAGATACTGGGCGATTAAAGGAGAAACCGGAGCTTGCCCACTACCTGCAGAACGACAGCTCCATACTTGCACTCACAGTCGGGGATCAATTTATATATGCAGGGACACAGGATGGAGAGATTGTGGTCTGGTCATTGGCATCTTTCGAGCTCGTCCTTCGCATCCAAGCGCACACGCGAGCAGTCCTCTGCCTTTTCCTATCTGCAGATGGCCAGCTGTTATTCTCAGCGCTGGAGATGCGATTGTCAATGCGTGGTGCCCTACCAGTTTAAAGCGGTTGTATCACGTCTACAGTACGTACGATGTCGGAGACGTCTTCAGCGTGGCTTATTCCAAGCAATTTGGGACGGTATACCTGGGGGCGCAGAATACCAGCATACAATGGTGCAGTCTGCAAGACTCAATAAATAGACCTCGCCCAAACCTAGACAACCATCCAGACCGGCGAAATCATAGGTTTTTCGATTCCGTGCAGCATGGAGGAACTTCTACACCACGACCACAGCCGGCTCAGACGGCGTTCACTGATGGTGAAGTACTCGAGATCGACAAGGCACACATGAAGCATTATGCTCATTTTGGCTACGTCTATTGCATGCTTATGGTCCGCGGGGTCACCCGTCTTGTGGAATCTGACGAAGACGTTTTAATCTCGGGCGGTGGGGATGGCACGATCAAGCTATGGAAGCTCTTTCAGGACCAAAACCGAGGAATCGAAGAGATTGCACGTCTTGGAGAAGATGATGCTGAGTCAGTACTGTCTATGGCTGTTGACGGGTCATTTCTATACAGCAGCAAACTCGAAGGCGTAATCGAATTATGGGACTTGGACACAAAGCAGAAGCTCCGAGTAATTCGAGCCCACAGAGGAGATGTCATGACATTGCAAATGGGCTGGGGCTATCTATGGAGTGCCGGAGCTACAGGGTTTGCTAGAGTGAGTATTTGCATCTTTGTTCGTCTGCAGCTTCTGACTCCTTTGCGTTATAGAAATATAGTACAGTACAATATGGCAAATATCAGAGCTCGACATCTTTCAGTCAGAAATATCATTGTGTGAATCGATGGAAAGCCCACGAGGGGCGAATTCTAGCGTCCGCGGTCTTAAATTACAATGGGCAGCAGTTGTATATCACGGGCGGCAATGACAATTCGGTTTCGATTTGGAACATCACTGGGTGCACTTCAGAGACATATGGGAAATCAGAGGTTCTTCCTGACAACCAAATGGTCAAATCATTGCAGGAGTTTGTCTCATTCAAAACAATCTCCTCTAGACCCGATCACGCGGAGGATTGCCGACGTGGGGCTACCTTTCTTCGGACCCTATTCAAAAAGCATGGCGCCTACACGGAGATGTTGAATACAGACAATCGACAAAATCCTGTTGTCTATGCCAAATTCAGAGGTAACCCCGAAACCTCGAAACAACGCAAGAACATCTTGTTTTATGGGCATTGTAAGTTGATTAGAGGACTGAAGAACAACATTCCACTAACTTGGAAATAGATGATGTTGTTCCTGCTGATAACAAGCAAGGCAAATGGATCGTTGACCCCTTTCAAATGAAAGGTATCAATGGATACCTGTATGGGCGAGGAGTTTCTGACAATAAGGGGCCAATAATGGCTGCTCTATACGGTGTCATGGATCTCATGCACGAGCAAGAGCTCGAATCAGATATAACCTTTCTCATCGAAGGCGAAGAGGAATCGGGTTCTCGTGGCTTCAAAGATGCTGTCAGACGACACAAGGACCTGATCGGAGAGATCGACTACATCATTCTAGCAAACAGCTATTGGCTGGACGACGAAGTTCCTTGCTTGACTTATGGCCTGCGAGGTATGCTCCATGCTACGGTCAAGGTTGACAGTAATCATCCGGATGTGCACAGTGGTGTTGATGGAAGCTTTATGATGGACGAACCACTGTTTGATCTGACAGCAATATTAGCGAAGCTCAAGGGACTGCATAATCGTATTCAGATTCCTGGGTTCTACGATGCTATATTGCCTGTGACGCCAGTGGAGGACGCTCGGTACAATGACATTACGGATGTTTTGATCAAGCGTAATCCCGAGCTTGGTCCACCAGATACTCTCAAGGCTTCTCTCATGGCCAGGTGGCGAGAACCCAACTTGACAATTCATCGTTACAAGGTATCTGGTCCGGATGGCTCCTTGGTTTCGTCTCAAGCAAGCGCAGCAATATCACTTCGTCTGGTGCCAAACCAGGAAGTTGAAGATGTGATCACGTCTCTCACCAAATTCCTCGAAACTAGCTTTTATACTCTCGATACCCACAACCATCTCTCCATTACGATTGACAACCAAGCAGATGCATGGCTCGGTGATCCAGATAATGAGATTTTCCAGACACTCGAGGAGGCAATCATGGATGTTTGGGGTCCGATTGGAGAGACGAGACGTTCCAGCGTGCCAGGACCAAAACCGAAGCAAGCGCCCAAGAATTCAGCTACTCCACCCACCATGAGCCCAAGCGTCAAGCCAACACCTACTACGAGTCAGACGTTGACAAACGGCAGCGACCACATATCTTACGCAGCAACGCCCCTCGATCCATCTCTCCCGGAGTTTGCACTTGACTTGTCAAGCCCCAGTGATGGATCCAATGGTCAAAAACGAAGAGGTAGAAAACCTCTGTACATCCGGGAAGGGGGTTCGATTCCAAGTATCAGATTTCTGGAGAAAGAATTCAACGCACCTGCCGCCCATCTACCTTGCGGTCAAGCGAGCGACAGTGCGCATTTGGACAATGAGCGTTTGAGAGTCAGCAATCTGTATAAAAGCCGGGAGATATTCCGGAAACTATTCAAAGATTTGCCACGAAAGTGATGCTTTTCTGCTTGGGATTTGATGCCGAATCATGGAATTTGAGCTTTTAGCGTGGCGTCCACATATATTGCAAGCGATGTCGATGGCGATATTCTTTTGATGGCGCATAGCATAAAATTTAGACGGGTGAGGGATGAAAAGTATCTTGTAAATAAATTGATATTGTCTACCGGTGTTCAGATGTCCGATAAGGCTAAATTGATATATCAAGTTGATGATATTTTGAGGCTCCCGACGCTGAAGCCTTTGTACTCTGACTTTTTCTTTCTGCGGAAGTTCTTGAAAGGGGAAGTTGTCGGAATATTTCCTCTGCCCTTCCTCTTTCGTCTCTTTAAGCCCGTTCCGTTGCTTG